ACATTCGTTAGATAAGAATGCAATAATAGCAACAGGGAACCATATTTAATGTAATATTTGGGCTATCTTTTTGGCAAAAATGACAAATGATAAAAAAACTTGATTTTCTTTTTTCAAAACTTTTCATATGGTTTACTCTATTTCCTTTTGCATTCATGAGTAACTCAGTGTACTCTATCATCGGGTTCTGTATGAGCAACAAGAACTGAATCACCTGCATTCCATTTTTTTCTGGCACACTAGGTAGAAACGCATAAGCTTTTCATCGCTTGTGTCATTTACCTTTTTTCTCTGCTCTCACATGACTAACGCTTTTTTATACAGGTGTCTCAAAATAAATGTTTCAAGCTTCATGTTTCAACATGTAGAGAGGTCAAAGGCAATCACTTTATTACAATGAACACGTGGTGGGAAATTTCATATAACAAAGTTACACACATGACGTTTGCCGGTGATGGGCATCTGTGAATGCACTCGTTCACGAAATCTCTTTGCACCGGCAAAAGTTGCTCAGGACATGTACTGATGTTACCACAGTGCCTCTGACCGGGAGTATCTAGGGTTCGAGCCCCAATGGCGGACAGATTTTCGACTCTGCTGGAAAGTTAGGTCAAATTCAACTGCTGGAGGAGAATTCTGGCCGCCAGTTACTCTGATCAGTAATGTTCCGTTGTTTCTCCGTTCGTCCGTTTGTGTGTCTGTCCGTCTGGGAACAACGCTAGCGACTAAACTGTTGAGCCGATTTTCTCCAAAACCGATATTCCCTAATCGCTCTAGCTAATATCGCGGTCCCTTGAATTTGAAATTGATATTTTAATTTAGGAGTACTGTACATGAAGCTTCTGAAAAATTTTCAAAAAATGGCTTCATCGTTTTTCATTTTGTTTTGGATAGTGTGAAAGAGAAAGGCGCAGGTCTAATGTTCATTGAATACCCTGATCTTTCTACAATTTAAACGTCAAATTTTTTTCGGCTTCTTCCTACAACTAAAATATAAAAGATGGACATTTTCCCTTAATGAAATATGTTTCTTAAAGATAGATTTTGAAATAAGGTCATGTACAGTTTCTCAAAACTTTGAGTACTTTTCGCGTAATTTGCGTGAAAATACAAGCGAGAAAGTACGTGCTGTTTTAGCACCACGTTTTTTTTAAATAATTTCTCCAGACACAATGCCAGATTATATTTAATACACCTTAGTTTCAAATAAAGACAAGTATTGTCAGATTATTTTCTTTAAATTTTATATTACATAGTTTTTTCCATCTTATACAGAATTTTGCCAAACATTTTAAATAAACAAAAACTTCACATACAGATGTAAATAACAAATAAAAATACTGGAGACATTTTGAACATTTTTTGTAATATTACATTTTCTCGTTGTAGAGAATTCTATTTATCTGGAATTTTTTGCAACAAGGCTGGTATTTGTATAATACAATATATACAAAAACCTAATTCTGCGATGAAACATACCACACTCATGATACAATAGTGAATAAAAGCAGGCAACTCGGAAAACGCAGCTCTTTGTGACAATCAAAAGCAAACCGCAGCACATTCATACAGCGTTCACTCAAATTAATTGAAATGAAACGTTTCCTGGTGTCAAAGTGCACGATATTCATTATCTTCGCAGAACGAATGTGCCAAATGTCATTTGTCTCGTTACTGGCGGACGTAGAAGCAGCCCCTCCCTTAAGCTGACATCCGCTGGCACATTTTCTATTGAGAAGAGCGCTGGGAACGACGAGGCCCTGAATAACACGCATCTAAAAACGTGTGGAAGAAACTTTTCATATTTGCAAAAAGTATATTCTGCGTTTTCATTTAGTCAATTTGTAAATTTTCCGCGTACGTAGAACGCTATGCTGGAAAAAAAGTATCATTATTCTCCGTTAAATATAGTCAGATTTAGAGGACTTCTTGTGTGATTTCATCATTTTGCGATGTGTTTTGTCGAATAAATTCCCGGAGCCATATAATTTTATTTTCGATGACCATATTAAAGTTGATATGTTAACAATACTTTTAGGAGTTAAATATAATGCCAAATTTGACAAATGTAAGTGTCATTTTTATTAAATCATTGATAAAATTTCAAACTGGTGGCATTCAACAGCACACACACACATTCCCGCGATAATTCTAGCTTTTGCTATTTTCGAACATTCAAAGAGTTCAACGAAAATTAGAAGCCAGCGTAAAAACGTTTAGAGGCTCTTATTCTATCACTAGAAATATTTTGAAGACAGCATTGGAACGGTTTTTAAGAAAATATTTTTCTTTTTGCATTAATTTCAACCGGAAATTGGTAAAATCTATTTGTTTTCCCCCTAAATTGTACATGACCTTTATTAAAGACCAGGACTTTTGGACGAAACAGTGTCCCTGTACACAATATTATTATTATTATTATTATTATTATTATTATTATTATTATTATTATCTGATTTTTTTACTCTTAACACTATGTGCAGGAACCTGGCCATTGCTGGTCTAGCCAAGGTCGATCTCGCAGAGACAAAACACGAGCGAATATTGCTCGGTAATAATTTCAGTCAATCGTGTACCAGCAGACACCAATACATTGCAGAAATTCCCTCACTATTCTGCAATTGCCCGGTATTACGGTTTTTTGCATTCGCTCAGCACATGACAATGGTAATTTCAACACTTGAATTGCATACGCTGCGTGTTTTGGTATTAATCCTGTGATGGACATGATTATCGGTTGCATGCCGATATTCTGAAGTCTCTATTCACGGCGAAGCTCTTGCGTCCCCGGTACATATTTCTGAATTTTCAAGATATAGAGTCTAGGTTGTTATCGTTGACGACTGTAAAGTCGATGATCACGGCTGTTTCCTTGAGATTGTTTAGAACTATTATATCTGGCCTATTGTTCGAAATTGTGGTGACTGTAATAATATTTCTGTCTCAGTATAGCTTCCATTCTTCATTTTCCAAGACTGTAGAAGAATTGTATTTGTAATATAGGATATTACAGAACTTGATATTAAAAAACATAATTATTATTTAAAAATAGAAAATATTAAATAATTTAATAGTTGTAATAATAATAATAATAATAATAATAATAATAACAAAATTTAAAAATCCCATTAATTAAAACCTTCAACTTTAAGCCCACCTTACGCCTTGAATTAACTCCACAAAATTAATAACACCTTAAAGAATTTTGTTATTTCAATTCTGTTTAATTTTTCATAGTAAATAAGGTAGTGAACTCTCCACTAGTTAACGATCCTAGTGAACGAGAGAGGTAAATTGCACGAGTGGCATGTTCAAGAAAACGAGCGACGATAGTAGCGGGTTTACTTGTTTACCACGAGTGCAACTATGCCCCTTTATCCACGTGTTACATATAATATTTTTTTCTTTTCCATGTAAGAATATTTTCAATCTAGAGAAATACAAGCATATCTTTACCATTCGAGGCATTTATTCGATGACGTCATATTCGATCGGAACATGGTGAACGTACTGGAGAAGACACATTTTAATAGACTTTGCATTGTGCACTTCTGATCCCCACAGTGACTAGAGAATATGAAGTGGTATTAAACTACTAGATCAAATATTAAACGAAGCTGAGAAAACAATGGCAACATCACTTCCTAGAAAACGTGATTATACAAATGAGGGAGGAAATAATATTTATAAATCTTGGAAAATGGGAAAGCGAGCGACAAGTGAAAAGGAGAGGTTTTGATTGCATTCTTTTCACAAAGGGTAAATACAACTGACGATTATATTTTGAACATTTGTAATACGCTTACATAAAACACAGTTTACGTTTATTCATTCCGTTTATTCATGTTTAATATTTCATCGTTTACTCAGCTAATGTTAAACTAGCGTCCTTATGATCATACTGTATTCCAATGCTGAAGAATACTTTCCACGTAACAGACAAGACTGATACATGTCGTTAAAATCAATCGTTGGACAGCAAAATGTAAGTGGGATAACATTCTCCAATTTCAGTAATTGTATTTTAAGTATTAATATATCTAAGATGTCGCATTAATTAAACTTTTGCTCATAATTGTTTCAGATTTATATCCTTCGTAATCCGTGATGAGCATTTTTTGTCTGCGTCCATCCTAACTTAATTTTACAGCTTTTACCCTTTTCTATTTGATAGGTGAGGAGTTTTAAAACGGCTTAGATGAATCAATGGGTCCATAGATTTCACTGTTGTGAAACTGTTCTGATCGGGAGATCCTAGGGTTCCATTTCCGATGCTGGCAGGATTTTCGACACTAGCGTGTTAACTGGATCGAATTCAGCCGCTGTCTGGACGCTGCGTTGATCGGTAGTGGTCCGGTGTTTCTTCGATCTACACCAGGAGAATGCCGAAGCAAAAACCTAACAAACAGGCCATCAACCGCATGCGATATTACCTTCTCCTTCCTTGCCCTATCCTCACCCCTTACTTACACTCACACTTGCATGCACTGCACTTATAAATCTGCTGGGAGACCAACTGGTGACTTAGATCTTATGCCGACAGAAGCTGTGTCCCGCTGGTGGGAGATACCTGGTTGGGAAAACTTCCGCAAATTGACAAGTAGGTCGATGTCGGATCTCACCATAAAGCTTAGGGAGACTACGGCCTTTTATCGAGGAAACCGCATACACTACACTTACGGGACTAATGACTGATAGTTGACGCAACCGCAAACACGAAATAATCAATAAATGGATATTTAAAAACACGCTTGCTAGGATATTGAACTACCACGGAATTGAACAGTATACATCTCGTAATAAATGAAAGATAATTTTAATACCCTGCCTATTTTGTAGGAGGTCCGGATGAAACGGTTGAGCGCGCGGGCGCCAGCCCCGGGCCCCTGAAGCGGACGGCGTGTGCGGCTGCCGCGCGGTGAGCCGCAAGAGTCACGATGGCAGAGCTGGAGGTGGGCAACGCCTCCCTCAACGTGTCCCTGGAGGAGTACCTGTTCATGATGCGAGGCCCCAAGCACCTGCCGCTGGAGGTGGTGCTACCCATCACCGTGGTGTACGTGCTCATCGCCGTCACGGGCATCGTGGGCAACCTGGCCGTGTGCGCGGTGATAGTGCGTACCGCCGACCTTCACACCGCCACCAACTACTACCTCTTCTCACTCGCCGTCTCCGACCTCCTGTTGCTTATTCTGGGTGAGTTGTGTCGCTTGTTGCAACGCTTAGCGAAATATTGCAAATCCACTTATGTATTTTAGTTGAAGGGATGATATAAACAGGAGGGAAAACCCTGAATCCAGTGTGCATGAAGTGAGGGTTTGCATCCGTGTACGAAGGCAAGAGAAAGTCTTTCCAATGTGGAGAGGGAATTCACTGATAATCTATCATCCTGAAATAATGACACTATAGAATCTAACTTTGCATTTATCTAAATTGTTTTGGGCTTGTGGTTTATTTACTTGTTTTTGACAATATCGGTTTAATTAATTATTCATTGTCGAGTACTTCCCGTTCGATTGCTAAGTGAAACCTTCCCATTTAGCTCAAATTATAAATTAATTATCACTATTGTACGAGCAGATTGTCAAGTGTTACCAGAGCACTTTCTTTCTCGTGTTATTTATAACGGATACGTTATATTAGGCATACAGTACATTATAATACTACATATACACTCATTCTTCAGCCACCTCGTTAAACACTTTCCAACAAAGCAAGGGTGAAGGACACAATTATATGAATTTATCATACAATTAATAATATTAAGAGATTTGCAATTTTGGAAGTTCACATATTGAATCTGAATGGGAATAATACCATGTTTTAAGGTTACTCTTTTCATTGAGACTCACTTTTTTCTAGCATCTTGGCAATAAATAAATTAATTATGATTTATGAGTGTGCATAATCTTGGACATCTATCAATGTCTTTAATTAAATCTGGCCCGTTTCGTATTTTAACACGAGGAATCATGTGAGATATAGCTAGCAAAAGGAGGTTAGCTACTGTTGTAAGTCTAAATATCAGAGAGTTGACATGTAAACGAGTTGACCGCCAATCGTCTGAGATGCACTCCAATGTTTAAAATGTAGAACACAATCACATTAAGATTTATGATATTTATTTCATACTGTAGGTCGATTTAACATCTATGTAACAACACGTATTTAGATCTGGGTAAACATACGACATCTTGAATTACATTTCAGAAACATCGTTTAATTGTGTTTACAGAGAATAGGATCTGATTGTTTTGTCCTGATTGTGTAAACCACTCTCACTTCATTAGCCAGAAGACCAAGTACTGAGCGCCATGAAACATTATTTTTTGATTTTCGATTTTTCATGAGATACGTTCCTTACGGCTGTTCCATTTGTGCGATGTACACGCACCGGTTAGCTAGTGAAATATTTATTCGTATTCCATAGTTTTCATCTGCATCTCTTTTCGCATTTGCTGTCACTGTGCGAAAAGATCGCGCGAACACGATGGAACGCGATCAATGAATGCCCGCCGTCTGACAAAGTGCCTGCTTGTGATCATCGATGTTTAACGGAGTGCCCCTCGGCGAGTGCTGCAGTCTGACAGGGCATGCTCATCCTCAAAGCGGCAAGTCTCCAACGGATGAAGAGGCGGAATCACGGATTCGTGCGAACAGAGCTGCGCAGAGCTGCTCAATGCGATACTTCATTCGCTTCCGCGTGGCTCTTTAGTATCTACACCTCCGTGATACTTTGCTTATTCAAATTCCTGCAATACTTGATTTAAATTTTCAAATATAGTGTGAATATTTTTTTATACAAATTAAAATGCGAATTGTTGCGACCTCTTAAAATGAAATTATTGTTTTTCCATAATATTTTAAACTTTGCAAATCCATTAAGATGATGTTTGTCCTAAAATACAGAAAATTAGCGAATCGATTGATATTGATTACACTTTGCTTCCTATTTAATTTAATGATACACATATAAAATTAGTAGTGCTATAGAATTGCAAAGACTTTCTCGTTATTTACTGTTTCTAATCTTTTTGTCTATGCTAGCTTTTCAGTAATGCTCCCCCTTCTTCCCAGCTGCTATCTATTGCCGTGAAAATGACACATATTTTCACATTTTCTTAGTTTTCCGATCACGTAATTGTAGAATGAAATATACCTTTATAATATTACAGAAAGGGTGAAGTAGTACTATATAAAAATTTGCTTTGAAATATTTGGAGACGTTCTTCGAAAATGTCGTATGATCGTTTCTGAAAAATGCGCAAATTCGAAGTCATTTTAACAAAAACGATTTGAGTTTTCAAGAAACTTCCATTAAGAATAATTTGATTGCACTTGTATTACAATTTCAATAATGCCATGAAAAATACTCGTAATATAAATAATTAACACGCGAGAGATATTTCAAAAAAATCAAATCTCAGCTTCTGAAAAATCAAAGTAATGTATACACTGAGGTGACAATAGTCATAGGATAGCAATATACAAATAAACATGGCAGTATTATCGCGTACAAACGGACAGTGTATTGGCTGGGCTTTCATTTGTACTCAAATGATTCATGTGAAAACGTTTCTGACGCGAATATGACCGCACGACGAAAATTAACAGACTTAGGTAATTGAAGCTAGACGCATGGAAACGGTCATGTTCAGCTACTCGGAGACCATTTACAACCATTCACGGACTTCATGTTCCCAAACAATGATGGAGGTTTTATCGATGACAATGCGCAATCCTGCACATGCAACACTTCGCAAACATGTTCAGCATAGAAGCAGCATGGCTCTATATTTTTGCAGGTGACTTCGGTGCCTTAATATTTCTGCATGGCACTTGTTGAGTTCATGCTGCGTCAAATTACTGCACTTCGCCGGACAAATGGAAGTCCAACACGCTATTAGGAGGTATCCCATGACGTTTGCCACCTCAGTGTATATCATGTAAATCAGAGCACTTATCAAGAGGTTTTTTTAAATTAGAGGCGTTTTTGAGAAAATGTAGTTCAAGCGTTTCTGAAAACGCGGAATTTTAAGCTACATTTTAACGGAAAAGTATTGAGTTATCGAGAACCCTTATAAGACATCATTCGAAGCCTTGTGCTCACCAATACAATGATGTTTACAAATTCCTTGTAATGTAAATGTTCACGGCGTTAGAGATATTTTGAAAATGTATGTGTATTTTTAAACAAACGAATATACCAAAATGGCGTTTATTTCAACTTTTTTAATACATGTATCACTACGGTTCGCTCCAGTCAGTCCACTTTCTCACCAGCCATCTTACGTTTCGCCTGTCAGCACACGGCCCAGCATCCATCACTCCCGAAACTTACCCAAATGGCCGCATCCATCTCGCTCCCAAAATCTCCCTCGGCACTTGCATTCGACTTCCACAATCGCATCCTGTGAACTACCGCGCCATCTATTCCTTCGTTGGATCAACCAGATATCGGAGGACCGACACAGAGTTTTCAGCGTTACACACAATAGCGCGAGCATGTGCGATGCGCCATAATACGTAGGAGTGATCTTCATTTGAAAAGAGTGATAGTGAATGCATGAAGAGAAACAATGATTTAGATACGTGTTTCCGAATATTTTATTTCTAAAATATGTACCCTACTGTTGTGCCATCGATAAACTGAAAGAAAGAAATCTCCAAACTTTAAATATATCATAAATATAAAATATAATTAAAGAAGACAGTCCCAATCATACAATGAGTATTACCAACAACATTAAGAAATTCTTAATACATTTCAAAGAAAAAAAATATGAATATTAATTGCGGTTATATGGGTGTCAAACTTTCAAGAAGATATTTCGTGGCTCTTTTCTTCTGTCATCAAACAAAAAGTCGGTATGGGATTTTAGTGGTTACGAAGATTTGAATAATATTTACAAGACCACCAAGAAACATAACTATTCTTGTAATCACATACCATGCAGCAAACAATTAAAATTGTTTTGGACAAACTCGGACGATAGAAATTTTGTTACATAGCCAATACAGACTTTCATTTTAACTACATAATAATTAGGTTAGATAAATCAGTGCAATATTGCAATATAGAGTTGGATGTTTTCTGAGAAGACAAGGAGTTGCATTTCATGGCCATTCCGACAATTAGGGCTCATCAAACAGGAAAAATGGTATTCAAAATATTAGCGAAGTAATAAGATATGTTTCAATTCTGAAAGAATGTATAGAAAAGTCTACAACATTTCGTGCAACATCGCCAGAGATTCAGAATGATTTAATTTCATGCGTGAGTATCGTAATATTACGCGAAATTAGGAAGTCTCTTTCACTTCTCTTAGAAGAAATTAGGAAGTCTTTCTCGAGGACTCTTGTGTTTTGAATAGTTGCGTCGAATAGATGGCCTATTCGGCACAATTCTCTTCTGGGATGCGTGAGCGCTACACGGCTGGAGTGGGGTATCCCCTGCGCACCCTGATGACGCCCCGTCTCGCTGCTACCCATAGAGCACCTCCGGCGGCTGATGCACCTTCCACTGCTTCAGTCCTCAAGCCGAGGACGAACTGGGACTTGGGCTGCTCTCATTTTGTCTCGGGACTAACGACCATAGCGGTTGACGCACCCGGAAACACTAAATAATCAACTACGTCTGTTCAATCAAAGAATCAACCACGTTTGCTCTCGCACCCCGCCCCCTCGGCGTTATAATTGCGTGCTGACCTAACATCATGTTTTAAGGTTACTCTTTTCATTGAGACTCCCTTTTTTCTAACATCTTGGCAATAAATAAATTAATTATGATTTATGAGTGTGCATAATCTTGGACATCTACCAAAGTCTTTAATTTAATCTGGCCCGTTTCGTATTTTAACGCGAGGAATCATGTGAGATATAGCTAGCGAAAGGAGGTTAGCTACTGTTGTAGGTCTAAATATCAGAGAGTTGACATGTAAACGAGTTGACCGCCAATCGTCTGAGATGCATTCCAATGTTTAAAATGTGACACATTCACATTAAGATTTATGATATTTTTTCATACTGTGGGTCGATTTAACATCCATGTACATACGTATTTAGATCTGGGTAAGTATAAGACATTTGAAGTACATTTCAGAAACATTTTTAACTGTGTTTACAGAGAATAGTGATTCTATTAATGGCGTGGCGGGGTGCTCTGGTCGAAAAACCAAATTTCGTGGACGCCGAGA